CCACAACATGTCCTTTGGCACGCCGAATCCAAAACCATAAAACCAGCGAGCTCCCCGTCCGTGGAATAGTTCTTGACCTCATTGACCTTGTAGGGGATGCTATTGACCATGTTGATGGAGAAAGCTGAACCGAACTCATCCGGGGGCGTCCCAATTGCCGGACTTTCCTCCAGCTTTTCCTCCACCAGCTCCTGGATTGAGTGGACATTCTTTGTCCTGATACCAGTGGCCCAAGGCGCCGCATGCCGAGCAGTGAGTCGTTTTTCGAAGCTCTTCGGGCGACTTCTTGGTTTTGCCACCAGCTGAATTGGAAAACTTTCGACCCAAAGTGATGCCGCTGAGTTTTCGGGCTGTCACTGTAAGGACCTCAGCGAGCTCGGAGAGGTCGGGTTCGTCCTCTTGAGGATCTCCTTCGGCGTCATCGCCGTTCGATGGCTCTGCATCGCCATCAGCGTCACACTCGGGGTCTTCCTGCTCTTCATCTTCAGCGACCTCCATCTCGGGGACCTCAGTCAAGTAGGTCTGCCGTCTTGGTGGTCCTTTGCTGCCACCTTTTGAGAAGCTCGATGTGGTAGTCGAGGAGGAGGTAGAAGAGCTCGAGGTCAAATTCTTCCCTTTGCCTTTTCCGGATCCAGACATGACCGCTGGAGCCGGCCTGAACTCTGGCCATTGAAGAGCGAGGCATTCTGCGATGGCCTCAAAGCTAAGGCTTTGTTGCGCGCCCACCAAGATCATCCGTTGATCATGATGACTCAATCCGCTGCGGTCCAAAAGCCTTGAGCCGAGCGAATCGGAATCAAACGTTCCCGATATGTCGACTCCGACCGCCAGGAGGGACCTCTGAACGCGTCTGAAGCGCTGCACATAGGCCCGCATGCTTTCCTGGTTGAAGCGGCGGAAGGATTCGAACTCGTGCAGGAAGCGACGTTTTTGGTAGATGATGCGTTGTTCAAATGGCCGCTGCAAAAGCTTCATGATGACGTCCACTCCGTCATCCCGATGGATTTGCTCGATGTCCAAATGTTCTAGTTCTTGTTCAAGCTCACCTGTGAGTCCATTGTACAGCATGAGGGCCTGATCCTTCTTGCTGGCGTAAGCTTCCATTTGGAGGCGCCAGATGCTGATCTTCTTGGAGAACTTTGCAAATGCCCTCATGTCAGGCTGGTCGTACTTCCATGTCGGGACAGGAGGAGGTTGTCCCGACTTCCATTTCAGGCCTGGTGCTGGCCCTTTCTTTGAGTTCCATGAGCCCTGGGATGAGCTCTTGTCCTCCTTCCCGGAATGTCGTGACCGGTCAGGAGTCTGGTCAGGTAGTCCAGAACGTTCAAGTCGTCCTGAATCGGGTAATCGAGAAGCTCGAGGAGCCGTCGATCGCTGTGGCGATCCAGCCGCGCCAGGAAGGTCCGCCGCGCCCGGTAGATCAGGTAGATCAGGTGGAGGGCCTTGAGATACTCCGGAACCTCGAACAGGTGTTCCTGGAAGAGCTCGTCGTGGGCCTCGTCCATAACCACCAAGCTGGCGTCCTGCATCCTGTGGCTCAGGTTCAACCACTGGGTCATGAGTGAGTCTTTCAGATTCGGCTTGTTCTTCATATAGATCTCCTTCGTCTCCGTCCGGTGGGCCTCCATGCTTGGTCCTCCTGCGGCGTCTCTTCTGGGCCTTGGATTCCCTGCCAGGTGAGGTGGGAACAAAAACCCAGGTGCCAGAGGGGTTCACATTCTTGGTAGGCCTGTCGACCCGGTAGAACTCGTCGTGGGAGCACGTCAAACAAATCCAACCGCTGTGGCCCTCCGAGGGAGAGGACCGCTGGCCATCACAACGCAAACAGCGCCATGGTGTGGGCTCATCATCATCCTTCGTGTCCTGGATCGGTGTTCTTGGTGCTTGAGGCTCCGACCAGGGATCCGACCATGGCGAATCGCCGCCATCACCACCATCGAGACCTTCGAAGTCATAGTCGAAGTCGTAGTCCGACAGGCGGGAGGCAACCTCGAGGTCGTCCGGGTCAGCAACCCTGAAAGGGATGGGCATCGAAATGCCGGGGCCTTCACGGCCGCCAAAAGCACCAAGCCAAGCTCCGGTGCCAACTCGACAACGCTCGAACGAAAGCTCAAAGCGCAAACATGTTTCCGCACACCGCAAGGTGAAAAACGGGTAAGGGCTCAGGATCCTAGTTTCGAACCACATGGTGCCAAGGTCAAAGGAAATCATGGTGCAAGTTTCTCACTATCATTCCAACATCATCACTAAGCCCTTGGATGTGAAGACAGTTCGCTTGTTTGCACTTGAAAAGCTCGTGTGAAACAGGTCCCTTCTTCTTTAGATGGAATCACATATATCCTTTATAGTATTTGTTGACGCAGTTCAAACAATTGGAAAAGTACTCTAGCTTCGATTGATGCCAGCTTCTTCAAAGTCCGCCCATGCACCATTCTTGAGTTCCTTGGCTCATCGGCTCATATTGGCTCACACAAAGGAGCACTAGAGACAGTGGTCTGTTTCAGTGGCTTTTGCAGTGCCACGTAGCCAAATGGCAAATCGCACAAGAAGGCACGCAAAAAAAAGCAAACAAAGAACACAGCATACAATTACTTATTTGATGATGTGCGGCTAGACTTGAATGATCCTTGGGGTGAAACATGATGGGCATATTTGCAAACAAAATGCACGGGTGGCGCCGTCACAGTCTTTATCTTTTACTTTCCAACTTTTTCTTCTTTTTGTCTTTCTTATATTGTCCATTTCCTGGCCTCTTCTAATTTACTAAACTTTTACTTGTTGTATTGTTGCAACTGTTCTGCCCCATCCTTTCATGTCCTTGTCCGTTTAGTATTCCTCAGCTTCTCTCTTGTATTCCGAATTTCTTGTTTTCTGCCTGGTAAACATGTCACAGTCACCAGAAGTCCAACATGGGCTGAACATGTCGCACACGCTTCGTGGTTTCGTAGTCGCACTCTGCCTTTCCGGCTGTGATGCATGGAGTGGGGTGGGACCATAATGTTCAGATCACATGCTACACCATTGACCTGCCATGCAAGTTATGTGCTTGTGACAACTTGCGGGGTAAGGGTGAGGTGGGGGAAATTATGTGCAGATCACAAATATATTAATGAATAGTGAATGTTGTTCTCCGTGCTATTAGCCCATGCTACTTTTGAATTAGTACTGATTGAACAAGAGGCGATCGAGAGTCTTACGTGTTGCTTCAATGTGGGCTGCACCGCAATGTCTGTTGCTGCTTGTCAGCTCAAGCTCAAGATGTGGGAGAGTGCTTTGGAGTGTGCGAACTTGGCACGGCTGTTCTGAACTACAAAGCGACGCAAAAACATACGGCAATCTATATACAAGGGCTGGACCATATGAGTTCTACCCTTGAAGAATCCATACTATGATTCAAGGCCATGAAGGATGAAAAACAACCAGCACCATCCTATTGGCAAGAATGAAATGAGCAGGTCCATTGTTGGGCCTGTGCCACAATTGCCGAGTCTGTGCATCTTTTTGATGGTTGCCGTTTGTACCCTTGCACGTCGTGTTCTTGCGTGATATACTTTGGTTGCCAAAGTCTTTATCTCTAAACTTAAAACGTAACATGAGCGCCAAAAGTTTCGAGAAAGCAACGCGCTGCCTCTTAAGCCCTGTTTCCCACTGGTACTGCGTTCTACCAGCACTGGCACTGGCTGTGCTCGCAAGCTTTGATGCATTGGCAGACGGGTGAGGTACATAGCGTAGACGGTGCTGCTGTCCAGTACTGCGAGTGGTTCGCATGAGCTGACGGAAGTCTACGTCATAGCTCACATCCTTGCAAAAGTCTCAAAGAAACGCAGGGTGTTGCATGCATGCATGAGTGAACGGCATTTGGAAACACAGGTTAGCTTATGTTAGTTTGTGGTCTACAGGTCTATTGGAAGGAGTCGACTCAGGCACCTGAATGTCATACTGCCTTTGCCCTGTGCAAGCTTTGGGGTGCAAACATGTCTGCAAGTTCCCATATTTCATATCTTTGTGACCATAGTTGTCCATCAAGTTGGTGAATGACTTTAATCAGTTTCAATCTAGATCCCATGTCCTCGCTTGGGCGTGCACCTCGCACGGTGTAGAGAGCTACAGGCTGACCACTATAGTATGCCTCCGTCAGGGTCTCATCCACATCTGCAGGGAGAGCCTGTGATGAAGGAAAAGCTCGAAAATTGATCATGAATAATCAAGTGATGGTAAGAAGTAAGAATATATAACAAAGATCTTAATGCAGAAGATTGTAGACTACAATGATTACTGTAGTATTCTGTGTCGCTCAGAATGATTGCAGGCCTCCCAGGTTTCAGGGGACATCTCCACCATCCAGCCACTCTCGAAACTTCCGGCATGGGATACAGACGCGTCATGAAGTAGAGGGACGTCGACCCGGTCGTCCAGGCCGACCGTTTGGACTCGAACCTCTTCCACTGGAGTCGGTTCTTTGTCTTCCTCGTTTTCTCGATAGACTTTGGCTTTTGGCACGGAACTCCCGCAACCCATCAAACCAGTCGAAAGGACATCTTCATGGCAAGCAAACGGCAACTGATAGCTGAGCAATTCGGTGTAAGGTGCCTTGTTGCACTCCTAACACACGATTGCCATGTACTCATATGTACTCATTAATCAATTTAAACCCATGGCTAATATGTTCTTGGCGTGCCCCTCTATACTCTATACTCGTTGAGTGGAAGTGGGCTGCAAATGATCAATTGGACACGCAAGCAACACCAAGCAACAAACCAATGCACATATTGGTGTACGACAAGCCCTCTTGAGTCGGGCGCTTTGCTTATGTCTTTCTTAGATTCATATCCACACCCTCTTGCAATCAATGTCTTCGGTTTTCTGTTTCGACAATTCATATATTACTTTGTCCGACTGTCTGCATGGTCAAATGACACCAACACAGCAAAGCCTGTTTCTTTGGATAAGCAATTTAGTTTGGGAGTGTGCTGTGAGGGCTGAGTTCCTTGGGTGCTTGCCTGCACCGATCACATCCACCAACAGCTGGTCATCTGGGCGCAAAAGGCCATCGAAGGAATGCGCATTTCCTGGCTAAGACGGAGCGCAAGCTGAGCACACCCGGCCTTCTCTACAGGCGCGAAACTAAAAGGCATTAGATTAGATTGTGAATTGCTCAGGTCGTTCCACCTCTTGCTATATCTTGATGACAAATCAACTTATGACAGTCCTCCGAACCAGCGAAGCTCCTGGAAGTTCCAGAGTTGCCGCAGGAGCTGTCGAGACGCCCCGACGGGCGGGGTGCTGCAACTGAAGGCCTCAAGCACCTCACTGGCAAACAATGCACTTCTGAGTCATCTGACTCTTGTTGGAGTCAATGTTGCTTCCAAGATTCCAAAGAAAGATCTTGAACTATAGTTTTGGATCACAGTATCAGTATCTACATGCATGAATACAAATGATGTAATTTAATAGTTGTTAATTCAAGAGCGTCGACGGACATCTCTCCGTTTCTTGAAAGGCTGGATCTGAGGGAGGATTCGGCTCCAAACGGACTCTTCATCTGTGAATAACAAATTCGCCGCTGGCAGCTAATGCGTGTGCAGGCTCACACCGTTCACAGTAGTCACAGTTCTCTTTTCTTCACAGCAAATTCAAGAAAACATCGCACGTTTGCACGTTGCGGCCTCGCCAGCAACAAACATCTGTGCCACCAAAGTCTGTGTGGCCTCTAGTTTCCGATCACCCAGCTCAAGGGCAGGGCCTCCGACAAAGACAGAATGAGACATGAGAAACGCATAACAACGATGGCTGATGATGGCTGGTTGCGCTTTATGGTTAAAGGTTTCAGCAAGAAGCATATCGAATCTCGAAGGCGTCGAGGACCTTCATAACAATAGAATACTTTTGTTTGAGCAAAAATAACAGAGAACACGGTCTTTTGTTGACAAATATCACAGCCCACAGTGCCTAAGAAGGTGCGGCCGCTCTTGGCAAGCCCCACAGCAACATCACCATCCCCAAGTCGGGAGGAGAGAAACGGCAACAGCTGAGCCTAACGGCTTTGCAGTGAACAAACTTCATGGTGCAGGTTTGCATGATTTGATCAACAGCATCTCCGATGATTCTGTGAAAGCTTTGCTGAAGATTGCTGCAAGTTCCTTTGATTCAAACAAACTAAGCCTGCCACAGTGGACATGCCAAGCCGAACTTCCAACGCCTGGATTTGCACCATATGCATGTGGAATTCCTTTTTTTTTTTGCGAAATCTTAGACTTGTGGATCTGTGAGAAAGAACTATTTTGCAACTGCCGAGCATATGGCATGTCACGGCTATAAAGGCCACCAAACGTCCTGGATAAAGCAACTACGGCACATTTGTAGAAACAACATGAAGAGCCTCAAAGGGTTCTTGAAAGGTTTGATGGTTCGAGGTCTTATTGGTTTGATATGGCTCGATACTTTGCTTTGCCAGGCCGCCTGCCGATGTTCTACCTCTAGTCGCCAGGGACGACGGGCCAGCTGCTCCCGAAGCTGCGGCACACCGCCTCAAAGCACATACCAAGCTGGTCCCGCCTTGAGACCGACGATCCTTGTTGTAAGAAAATTTGATGAAAGCGGCTCCTTTGAGTAGCCTGGTTTTGCCGCTTTTGAATACACTCCTGGCCCTTTCAAACATCCATGCTGCACGATTAGTAAAAAAATGTTGGGTCGTCAGGGCACTAGGAAGCATCCGCCACAGGTTCTGGCCGAATTTCATGGCGCGCTGGCAGGTGTTTAGTGTTCGCGACACAGAGCAGTTCCAAGAAACACCCTTGGAAACTTTTAATTTTGCTCCTGCTTTGATAAGATATACTGGACAAATCATGGAGGCGATCTCTGAAACCTCCGATACGATACGGTGGGAAAGAATCGTTCATCTTTAGCACTCGTGGGTTTACAATTGATGGTAACCACACACTAATATGCGATACTTATGACAACATATGACAATTTGCAATCATGAATTAGCTCCATGCTTGCTTGAACCACCATGCAATTCTTGTCACACAGCATTGGTCTGACGTGGTAGTGTTCGCCTTCCAATAGGTCAAAACTGAGTCCACAAAAACATACAAAGAGCATCTGCATGCAACGTGACTAGTGCTCTATCCAAGGGCAAATGTAAGTCAACATCGAAAGTGATTCTGTAGTCACAGTCTTGAGTGAGTGATGTGAGTGATGTCCCAGATTTTCATGACCTGAATCTGAACATTATCATTTGTGCTTGTCACACGACACTGGAACAACGATGGGCAAAGAAAGACTTTGTCTTCTCAGTCTTCTCGGTTTCTCAAATTCGTCTCGGTCTTTGCCGTCTCTCAACGCGGTCTCTCGGTGCCATCGCCTTTCGCCAAGGCATCCTGCAGCTCGACACGAAGACCTCGACACAGCGGATGAGGATGGCTTACCGTCGAAGTGCCAAGCAACGCTTGCTACACAAGGGTACTGTACAGTATGTGTCAGGTATAGTTGTGCTTGACAACCAGTTCAGCACAGGATGCTAGGTGCGACTTTAAGCCGTGTAGTTTCAAGCTTAACACGGCTTCCACACATTTCCACACTCTCCTTCAATGCTCTGTCCATGCTGCCCCTAGCCCCTATGAGTTGTCAAAGTAACTTCTTGCATCTCCTTCGGCTGTTTGGTACTGCAGCTGTCTCTCCTGTGCAGCGAGATGCACAGAGCATCCAAGCATGACATGCTCCACCAAAACGTATTAACTACATGAACTTGCTCTGGAAGCTCACAGTCCCTTCCAAATTTCACATACTCGTGCAGGGCATTGACATGCTAGAACTTACTTGTTATTCTGCTCTTGACAGCCAAACAGTGTGGTTTTGCCATTGCCCGTCCCGGAGCTGTCGATTCTCGCGCTCCAACGCTCTTTGCTTTCGCCACTTCTCTTGGCTGCTGCGCCTGGCGGCAACTCCTAAATCTGGATCTTGGCTCGCACCTATACAAGCTACCTTTAACATCCTTAAAGCACTTGTATTTTCAAAGTGGGAGCAAGCCACAGGGACTTGAGGGTTTCAACTAGATTCTTGTCCACAAAGACGTCGCATACTATCAACACCAAAAAACTCATGTTTGTCTGAAAGCAAAACGAGTTCTCAAGTTGGGGTGTTAAATGGAAAAATGTGCTTTCTAGAAAAGAATAGTATTACTCAGTATTCCTATTCTACAGTAGAACTTCGTGCTTTCATCCGTCGAAGAGATAGAATAGACCGTGCAAAGCAACGTATTGGGGTCTGCAATTCTTCACTGCAGCATGGCAGGCCGTTCGAATGTATGAGTTGTTTGAACAATTCTGGTCCAGCGGTTGAACATGGAACTACTAACGAATCTCAATAGTCTCCAGGAGTCACGGATAGTCACGGTGTCAAATATGCGTGCTTTGGAGTAGAGTTTGTAAAGCCTGGGCTCGCCTGGGTGGTGTAGGGCGTTGATGGTTTGGAGCGGGTTGATACAAGTGTCAAAAGGCTCCCGCAGTGGCACCATCTAGGGACTTTAGAGGGCCCATGGTGTAGACAGGGCTGCAGGCGATATTGAGCAAGCACACTGTCACAAACGGATCGTGCATCGAGCAACTGAGCCATTGAGAAGACCAAAAAGGATACAGTATGTGACGGTATTGGCATAAATGTGAGTATGTTTTGTGCCGAGAGACCTGATCATTAGCTGCTTGGCAGCTTCTGCCAAGATTGCCAAGGTACTGCTCTTCTCGGAGCTCCTCTAATTCTTGTCGCGTCTTTGTGAACTCCCGCCTCAGTGAACTCATGCTCAGAAGACCATCGGTCGACGAGAAAAAGGCAGGATGACACTTGAAACACAGGAAAACACAGATTTGCAGAAAGGAGGATTAATCGACAAATGTAGATTGTTGCAATTGATTGATTAATTAATTCATCAAACTGTATCAACATCGATTGAATGCATTCCAGTACCAAGAACCTTCAAAGAAAGTTGACACGCGTATTTAGTTGACCAAATGTATTATAGACTGTTAGATGACAATTGCGTTTGAGTTTGGGAAAGGTAAGCTTGCTGTATCAGTGTTCCATTCCTTGAGCTTTGTCCTTGGCTCTGCCCACAGACTGCCGGAAAGAAGCAAATCTGATGCAGGCCCCCGGCCGCATATCATCAAGACGTTCACGTCCCAAGGCCTTGGGCCAAAGTGTTCAATACGAAAGTTCCTAGTAGCGTCCTTGCTCCTAGTAGCGATGCCAGGAGCCCCCTAGTAGCGTCTTTGCTCCTAGTAGTAAGGCCAGGAGCCCCTAGTAGCGTCCTTGTTACTCGTTTTCCTTAGTTCCCTGTGTAGTTTCTTTTGACCTTCTCCCCCAACCTCTGCTTCTTCTCGGCGCTGCCGCTCTGACGCAGCAGACTGCCGCAACATGCGCAGCTCCTGAGCGGATTATACAAGGCGTTTGAGCATCAGATTAGTAGGTTTCCTTTGTTTTCGTGTCATTCTATGTTATGCGGTATGCTTCATAATATGTAAATAGTACATCTTAGTGCCCATGAGAGGCATGAGAGGCTAGTTTCCCAATGTCTCGGAGAGTTGAACCTAGTCCGGCATTGTTCATTGGAAAAGTCAAGCCTTGGTGCGGACGGGTGCAACATGTTCAAACTTCCTTCTGCCATCATGAGAGACTGGTGCCTGGCCCTGTTTGGCTCGAGCTTCTTCAGAAGATCTCCGGGCTGCCTGAAGTGCAACACAAGGTACTGTGCCAAGTGATGGAGAGTTGATCGCACTGGATTCTAGCGCTGGATCTCTTCCGCTGCGAATTGCTACTAGACCTAAGAAACATTATTGTTTTTGCATTTTCTTCGCCCTGTTTTATCATAAAACACGAAAGCACTCCTTGCAGCCCGCTCAGATCTCAAGGACTTTTAAGTAAGTTTCAGAAACAAGGAACTGTGAATGCTTCCATTTTGTGATGGAACCTGGAGACTTACATGAGACTACTAAATTTATGGACTACATGGAATGACCAGTTTTTGTCCAAATCTCAACACGGTCTGGGTCATCGGGCACACTCCTCCAGCAACATGGCCTCTCTGGACTGCAAGCGGACCAGCTCGAGACCCAGTCGACCTGAAGAGCAGACACTGCAGGCGTTGAGCGAAAAAGGAATTTCTTTAAAGACAACTGCATGCGGCAGCTGCGGCATGCGTGACAATTCTGCGTGAGCATGACCAATGTGAAGGATCTTATATAAATATATTAATTAGTCCAAACATACCACAAAGGACGCAGAATATCTGTTTGTTGGAGTTGAAAATACACCCAAGTTGACTATCTAAACGTATTTTTGATTGTTATTTTGCATGTCAACGAAAGCTGCTTGGCCGAGCCTAAAGAAGCCTCAGCTGCATCACGCGCCTCTTCGGCCTCCTCCCGTGCCTTGTGTCTGGTGTCCAAAGAATGAATGACATGGGTGGCCAAGCTGCATAAGCCAAGCAAATTGTTCTGGAGGAAGGGATCACCATCACTGACGCGATTGTCTGTTCCCGCAGGAATAGAGTAGCTGTGACCCCTATCACGGAAGCTGCAATTTTCCGCAAGAAGCCTTTACTGTACAAAATTTCGATCAATCTCTGCCTTATCCTGCTCTTCTTGCAGGTTGTTGGCCGCTTGCAGTCCTTACGGCCCCCAAAAACATATTGTAGAAAGGAACAGCTTGCACTGCAAGGCGCCTTGGGAGAGCCTTCTTGTTGCATGAGTGCAAATCCCCAATAGTTAGTGAATTTGGGTTGCGTAGAAACTTTGACCACTACGAACGGAATGGTAACACTGCGGCAACACATGCAAGTGGCCTCTTGTGGTCTTCAAACACAAAAACATATCCACTACGTTCTATTTTTGTATTCTTTCACATGCAACACATCCAGAACGCATGTTACATGTGTTTTACTCTCTGACTCTGACTCCCCGATCCCTGTTGTGATGGCAGGCTTCGCAATTCGTCCAGACCCAACTTCTGCGGTTCCACTGAAGCCCTTCTCTGAGTCTGTCTGGGTCCCTCACTTTCTTGCACATTGCGCAGCACCTCTCGTTGCTCCCGGATGGCAGCCTTGCACTGAGGGCATGGGAGCCGAGCACAAAACAGGTTTCTCAGTCATGTCCACCAGAAACAAAAACAAAGTAGCGTACGCAGCGTTCTGGGCCCCGTTTGCGACATCCAAGATCTCTCCTCCATAGCTACAGGGCGTATTGAGGGAAGTGCCGAAATCGCTGAACATTTGGGCGCTTGAAATCCTTTCTGCGCCTCTTTGGTTAAGTTGCAGTTTGTTGAGTAGAACTACTATGTGGTGCTTTGTCACCCTTTCCAATTTTCAGCACATTAGCCCGAAGAATGCAAATTTGTTTGAAGGTATCCTCTGCCCATTGATCTCAATTCTCTCTCTCTCTCTCTCTGTGTGTTTGTGTGGTTGAAACCTTGGAGTCATTGGCTTTCCTTTGGCAAACCTTGTTCCAAATTTTTGTAGCAGGGGTGCGTAGCGCGTTCGGATGAACACGCCCAACGAAGCTGGTCCAAACACGGGATACCAGGATTGGCCATCCTGGCATGCTGCTGCATGTGGGTTTCTGCGTGCTTTTCTGACAATGGCGGGCGGCAAAGCCAAGAAACGCCTTTTCGAGACACTCACCTTTCTTGACCTATTCAGATGTTGGAGTCTTAATTTCAAGCTCTCGAAGAATCATGAGCTAGTCAAATGTCTCATGGATCACATGCCTTCTGATCACTTAGGCAACGTCAGGGAAAGCTGCATTCCAACCGAAGGTATCATTTCCCGAACAAGAAGCTCGTATGTCCAAAAGCAGTATGACTGACCCACATGATGTGCTACACCCTGCTGGCAAAACTCATTTCAAGTGCTTTTTCTTTCAATAGCTGACTTGTTGTATATAAAAAGCGGCCATGCTTGATGGAACCCCTGGCCAAATTGCTGATTGGCGGCGGCGGCAGCAGCAGCAGCAGCAAGCATGCAGTTTGTTTGATTGATTTGGCCTGCTGGGCGCGTTCTGCTTCTCCTCGCAATCCACGCTCCATTTCTGAGCGCTGAAGCAGCTCCTCACAAAAGCTGACAAACGGCAGCTGAAGGAAGTTATTATGCAGAATGCAGAATTATATATGCCCAAAAGCTGCGATTGCACAAAGATCAAACCAACTCTTTGTCTTTCGAATACTGATCGTCTGCACCACTTGGTCCTGGTGGTGCCTCTGCAAACGAACAAGCCTTAGACTTGCAAAGTAGTCAATGAGGTGTGCTAAGACTGCACCAATGAAGAAACAAATATCTGGCAATATCTATACATGTCTTGTTCTGCTGTGACACAAGTTTTGGCCCGCACTCTCTCTCGACCGTCTGGTAGATTTCTTCTGCCTGGCCGTTTAATTAAATTAAACGCCCGCAAAGAAAACATTGTTTCGGCGTTAACCTGATTTGCATTTGAAACAATCTGCCTAAAACCGCTGACTTTCCCCAGCCTGGTCCAGCTCCATAAGGTATGCCTTGCGGGTCCTAACAAAAAGCACAAGTTGTCAGAAGGGGGTCTGCAAACTGTCTGCATGTTTGTTGTCAACCTTGCAAGCGGTGTAAAATACTGTTGCCTATACTATACATGCTTCTCAGGCATAATCATGCCCTCACCGGACACATGAATGAGCTCCATCTTGTTCGGTCATGAACATGCCTTGAGTTTAGCTTTACAGTTTAAAGATGTTCAAAAATAATCTAGAGTCTTGAACAGAACTGAACAACTGCTCATGGAGAACCGCTACGTATCGTGATACCATCTTCTTGACTCTCACAGAATGCAATCCCTCTCCTTTCGCTGGCAGCCTGAGGCAAGAGTGCTCAAAATATCTCCCAATCTCTCAACACTGGACAGAACGCTTGCACAAACCCAGCTTCACTGCCAACCAACTGATTTGAGCTGTAACTGCACCGGAGAGTGGCCGAGTATCGCAAGGGTGGTGTTCATGGGAGCTTTTTCGAGTTTGGACAGAATTCCGAATTCCTTCAATATCCAAGCGGCGCTGGGCCCTGCAAGGTGAGGTCGTGCCAGGCGCCTTGGAAAATGGAACATCTGCCTCAACCCTTCACCACGAAATGGGACAAACATCAATTGGAGTGAACACATAACGGCTCGTCTTCCTAAAAGTGTTCCGAAACCCAAGCGCTTCTTTGCGCCAAATGCCAAATCACAGCACCTTGAATTCAAAACCAACCATGATCGTGAAGCAATGTCACCTTTCCCTTTACCACGTTGACTGTTGGCCTGATCTTACTTTCTTATCGTTTTGCAGTGCTTTGACCAAGTGCAACATGTGCAGTCTACATTCGTGTGCACTGCATGCGTTTGTACTGTGTGGAACTTGCAAAACACTAATTATATAACTATATACATTTGTGGGCAATTGTCTACAGGTGTGCTCGCTGCTGTCAGTTTTGTTATGGTTTTCATGCCTGGTACAAACATTGACTTCTAGACACAAACAAAGATACTACAACACAACACTCCTAACACTCCTCGTTGTCTTCGCGGGGGAGACAAACACACACATATATAATATATAGATATGATACATATGTGCATGAATGAATTATTATGTGCGGTGCTGTCACTTTTCCTCTTATACTGTTATAATATGATTTTAATTTATAATCGTTATGCCCTCTCAAGTGCTCTTCAAACGTGTACCGTCTCAGGCTTTGAAGGACAATCCCACAAGCCCCCAAGTTCCGCTCCGAATCTCTTGGCAAATGCCATCAGCCTCTGCCTGTGCTGAGGCCAAGAGTTGGCCTTGGAAGTCAGAACTTCGCATTCGGTGCACAAACCAAAACAAGAAGCACCACGAATTGCTCTTCAATGTTTTCTTGTTTCATGCCCCGAATACAGCGGGAAGGGTTTGTTCCAAAAAAAGGGTAGCGGTACATTGTGTTGCACGTACTGTACATCGCGTTGCCTTTGTGTCACATTTACATCGCGCTCGATTTGCGCATCGCAGATCTAAATTTTTTCCGAGTGCAAGTGGTGTGATCCTGCCGGTGGTGGAGCGCTACGTGTCCCTGCGCTGGTGTTTCATTGGAAGTCCACAAGAACATATCATGACGTACCGTAAAATTACATTGCTTTCGGGCCACATTGTCGTCCAGCTATGTCCAGTTGATTTACTAGACCAGTCGTTTTTGAACCTGCCTAAAATCAAGCAACCACATTGAAAAGCCTTTGACAAAAAAAACACCTTACAATGTAATGGCCTCCAACCTAATAGCGATGGCCTCCACCTAGTAGCGTCTTGTTACTAGTACAGTTGAGTTCCCCAGGAACCCAAAACAACCTGCTGCACTTTATTCCACTGGCGCTCGCGCTAGTATCGACTGCAGAAGGCCCCGCTTGTGGCTCTGCGACAGGCTCCCAAAATGCCTAAGGCATGGTATCCCAAGGCGCGATGGACAAAAACTCGAAAACCACTGTATAGGATTTGAAACAAGTCATATCAACACGAAGAAATTATTGATGTGTTATGACCCCCCAGAGCTGCTTCTTCTTCTTCTTCTTCAAGAAATAAGAAAGAATACAAAATGCTGCAGCATGTTCTTGCGCCAAACTCTTCCATTTGTTCAACCTTCAAGGACTGGGACATATCCAAACGCATATGCCCCACATACACTAGTTCCTAGTTCCTGATTAGTTCCTAGCTCCTGTACATGTCTTTTCGCTATGTACTTCACTTAATGCCGTCAGTTCCTTCAAAGCATCCAAAGCCACAACAAATTCAGTGTGCGCAAAAACACCCGTGCATTTGACGGTGCTAATAATAATCCTTTTTGGCAAAACCAGTGATGACAACATGGATATAGTTTGTACACCGCGAATCTCTCACTATTAGAGTTTCTGACTAGCAACTACCAGCTCTTGCCTGGATCTATGCCCGTGACAACACCAAACATATCCATGCCGCCAATATCTGCTGTTTGTTTACTAAACAAACATTACCTGTTGTGCAATGTACCAAAGCAACATGCAGTGGCAACTTGCACTTCGCCCGTTCGACGTTCTCCGATGAGCTCACTCTTCCGGCTACCGGACTAGCGCTGGTGCAACGGGCCACGGCGGTGGATAGCCTCCCCAGTGCGGCAATGGCCACATCGGCAAGTTGACTTGTATAGCATGAGGAGCTGCATTGTTTTGTGACAAGTTTGGCCAATGCTTCTGTGTACTGAAGAGCAAACAACACCTTGTCCACTGGCCCTATTGCATTCTGTGCCAAGATCAACCAAACGAATGATCCAGCCTCGTTGATTCACCCATTTCGTCTCAACATCTCTCAACTGATTATCCTTCTGGGTCACCTATGTATTGCGTAACCCCCTTTCTCGGCCTTTCAATTTCTTGAGGTGGCCTATATTGTTTTTCTTCTGATTTCATTCGCCCAATCTGCGCTCAAGCATCTGCATCGTTACCCCCCTTCTTCTCACAGCTCACCTAGAAACAAGGAGAATGCTCCCGCGTACCTGAGCGATTTAGATTTGGAGGCGGTCTCGGCCTTGGCGGAACTGCAATCTGTAAGAATATAACTGCAACCATAGTTCAGCCGAAGACTCAGAAATGTCCGTCCATAATTGTCCTGACATCATTCCAAAGGGATCCCAGGAGCTCCCTTTGCACCCAACTCGTCCTCCCATTTCAACACTCGTCCATCCCTTCCTCATGAAAATAGAGCGCTGCTCTGCAGGAAGAACATATCTGTGGAACAAAAGCTGCTCGCCCCAAGGACAGCCGAGCTCTGGGTGTGTGGCGATTCCACAGCTGCAGCCATGGCGTGGAAACATTGCGACTTCTACATCGTCCCACTGTTTTGTTCCTAGAGCTACTAACAGCCAACACCCATTGCAGTTGGCTATTTTGGTTTTGTAGGCAATTCTTCTTTCAATGTTGAAACAACAGGCTTATTTACTTCTCTGCTGGACATTGCTGGACCGAAGCCAATGGGAGTTCCAAAAATCTTAACAGCCAGCATGGAATGGAAGGCATCCTCTCTTTTGCTCAAGCATGTCTAAAACCACCACCTAAGCCAAGCCAAAAGAGCGATCACCGGCTGTCCATCTCTGGTATTCTTCACACGTGCCACTTATGCACCTCATCTGGCCACCATGCTGCAGTTGACAAAGGCAAGATTTCAAAGCAACCACTCAACACACAAACACACACACACACACTTTGAATGCTCGACGAAGTCGGAAACTCGTGAGAATGAGAAATGCCATCGCTGAGGATGGCCGGAGCTTTGCTTTGGTGTACAATGGCATCTATGCCAGGCGGTGCTGTCAATCAAACATTTACAGTAAGCACGAATTCGTGAAAACATAGAGAACACTGTTTGTCCATCAGGACTCTTTCCCGGCTTCACTGAAGTGACCATCCACTGGAATCTCAGAGTTATCCAAAGGTTCAGTCTCTGCCGCAGGATGCCGCTCTCGATACAGGTTTATCATCACAAGCACAATCATGGTGCCGCAAATTACCTTGTATATAGGTTTTGGATGCGCCCAGTCACAAGAAATATAAAAACAAGCACAGAATCTACAGCTCCCCGGGTCCCCAGCGGCATTTTTCTCCCTGGAACATGATGAGAATCCGCCACCATTCCGAAAAATTGAACATCTAGCATGACCAGCGAATAGAAATAACTCAGTCAGGAATACGAACTTATCCATCACGTGTCTGAACTGTTGAACCCCAAACAGACTGTCCTTGCCTGGCGGCAATGTAATGAGAATGCATCTGGATTCATCGGCAATTAATCCTACAACCCGACGTCACGTATACCTATAGCAGGTATAAATGTCACCATCTCAAGCCTAGCGCCTAGGGACTGTCACCAGCATGATGATGAGCGTCATCAGTATGCTCCCTGTGATAAAGGATCGCGCCCAGTGCAAGTCATTTGCAATCCTAGGCATGTGAGCTGAGACTCTTCACTTGTGCTACCCGCAAGACAAGATTTCCAAGACAGCTCCATAAGCAAAACATATTCTCAACCTGAGTTGTGCTTCTTTTGAACGTGTGAATATGCATTGATTTATAAAACAGGATCAGGGCAACAAAGTAGATGTTGAATGCGGGACAAAGCAAAGGTCAAAAAGCATGAAGCAAAAAGTAGACACCGACTTGTGTGGAAGTAGAAATATACTTGTGCTTGTGCCTGCCCTTTCCGGTGTTCTGTCCTCTGTAGTAATGACACCCACTTTGATACTCTAGCCTAGTAGCAATGTTGATGTCAAACTTGCAAGAACAATTGCAGTAGTCAGCAAGCCGATCTCGACATCGTTCCAAAAGTTCACCTTGACAGCAAATATTACAAATTACAATGTGTATATATATATATAGCGACGGCCCGGAACTTAGAAGGTAGCATTTTCGGCACTTCAAAACAGTAGATAAATTTAGAAGGGGGGGTCCTGCTGCGCACCTTCTAAGTTTACGGGCTGTTTTGAATTACCATGCATATACCGCTATATGGCACCTTCGCTATATGTATATACTACACACATATATATATATACACAAACCCTGTATCTGAAAAGCCTAGAAGAGATCTACCAGCGATGGCCTTCAACCTAGAAGCAATGGCCTCCAATCTACTAGCGGTGGCCTCCAA